TCGAGAGTTACTGAAATGTAGAGTTTGAATGAAGAAGAGATGGGTATTTATAGGGGTTTTGGACTGAAACCCCAACGGTTTAAAGTTTCGAATAAAGGATAAGACTAGTCGGATAATTTAACAATCATTATGGAGATTCGGGAAACCCATATGAAGAGGCCAAGAAATTCGCAGATCGAGGCTACACGATGACATGTGACGGCATATTCAATGTTGAGGAGACGTTTGATTATGTGCACAACTCAAACAGACCGAGAAATTCACTGATCGAGGTTGCACGATAGCGTGTTGCGATGAGTTTAATGATGAAGAAACATTCGGGTATCTGCACGTGTTAAAAAGATTACAATTTCACAAATTAAGGTTATAATGATGGTGTGTGGAAGGCTAGGTGTTTTAGTGTCAAGTAAGGACAAGCATGCTAGGAAGTTGCCACGTGGCAGGGTGTCTGACAAAATTAAGATCATACAATCGTGCTTCATAAATGCGCCTAATAAATGCAATATTCAAATTGTTTTAGAAAAAAATACCCTGGTTTGCTTTGACTTCTTCAAGGTCGAAGTTAGGCTAAAGGAATTCTGAGCCGAAGACCTCAGAAGCGAGGGGGCAGTATTTGGGTCCAAAATGATGTTTTGGGCCGAAGGTAACAAATAGGCTGAGACTCTTAATCCCATGGTAGTAAGGGGATCATGGGCCGACTGGGTACTGGGTTGTCTAGTTGTTTGTCGATCGAGTCCCTTTGTGAGAATGATTGATTTAGATAAAGATGAAGGATGAATCTTTAAACCCCCAGGAGTGTTAAAGCTAAAGGCACTAAGGAGAACGGAAAGAAACTGGTTCGTTGTGAAGATGTGTTCAAAGTCATAATTAAAGTAGGATTGGCCGAGTCTTAGTTAGATCAGGATGAGGAGTCCTAGTCCGGGTGAGGTTCTAACTCGGCCAGAAGTAGGTTCGCTCCTATAAATACAGAGGATGAACACACATTCAAAACCTCCAATTCAACACACAAATTGCCCTACTCAAATACACTCTCTACGCGAAACCACTCAACAACCTTGAGATTTTTCATTTTCTTTTCCGCCAACACATCTTCAGTTTGGATAAATAGCACTGTGAAAGCAACCGATGAACATCTTTAGTTTGGATAAACAGCACTGCCGCTGTAGAATCAGCCGACCGCGAAACTGATAGGAGCATATTTATGCGACTTAGTGGGCTTGTTCTTGTGCATTTATTTTGTTTTTCTTTAGTTATTTTAGTGTTTAAAGTCATTTTTGTGCAATTTCAGGTTTTAGAGACAAAGTATGCAAAGAAGTGCAAAATGGAGCATTTTAGAGCAAAATTGAGCTGGAATGGAGTGTATGCTTATGGAGCACAAGGAATGGACGAGTTTGAAGGTCAAATGAGCTTAAGAAATGAAGAAATGAAAGTGAAGAACAAAGAATTCAGAATTGGAAACCAAAGTTTCTAAAGTTGGAAGTTTCTATTCTTGGAGGTTTCCGTTTTTGAGAGTTTCTATTCTTGGCTTTGGGCTTTTAGATGACCTATCCGTACCCTCTTAGACTTTGGCAGCACCTTCCTAGCCAAATCCCTCTTGGATTCTGACTTGTTAGGCCCTTTTCCTTGTGGATTTGGGTTATACAAATCCCTTTCTAAAACTAAGTGGGCCAAAACCCTAATTCTTTGTGGATTTTCACCCCTTGCCGCACCTAAACCCTAGGCCATTGCCTAACCTGATTTCTAGGGTTTGTGGTGCCTATATATATATGTTTTCACTCTATGCCGTGGAGACCACCCCTCCATATTCAGAATTTTTGCCAGAAATCATTCCCTCTCTTTGCCACAGCCTTCCTTCACCATTCTTCCATATTTTTCTGATTCTTTTTACCCTAGCCGTACCCCCCATCAATCCTAAACCCTTCCATAGCATTCCTTACCCATTCTCCCATACAAATACCACCCTACAACCTGACTTTAGACTAAGTGCCGCAACAAGGAGGAAAGAAGACTTGTGGATGCACCTGCTGTCCAAGTTAGATCATTTAGCTGTTTTCTTTCTTTGGATTTTAATGTCTAAATTTATGTATCTTTGCTTTGTGAGTATGAGGAACTAAACCCCCCTTGGCTAGGGGGGATTCGAAACCATGTTTATGCTTGCTATATGATTTGATTACTTCCAATTGCGTTTCATAAGTTGTGAATTCAATTTATTTATCTACATGAATTAAAACTGATTTGTGTATGTTGGTTGAGAGTGCACGCTTAATTTTCATACCTAAGTTTGATGCTAGGATATAAGGGAGTTTTACCTAATCGTTATGAACATATAATCACAAGTAGTAAAGGTTGTTGATCACAATCGTGTTAAGTAAATTCTTGGCATAAGTTTCATGCAATTCATAGTAACGAGTGCTTCGCCAATGCTTATGATTTTCATAGAACTTAATGATTCTTGCTTGTATCTCTATTATGCAATTCATGTAGGGAACTTGTGGGGAATGCTTTGGGTTGTTGTATGCAATTCATCCAATTCAATAACTTAATGAAAATCTGAGGGTTAATTAGTGCAATTCACGGTTAATCTGGGGTGTTGGGAATTCATGGTTTATTGAGAAGCAATTGGAAATCGTTTTGTATGCAAGTGTGGCATGTGTGGAGAAGAACCCCTTAGCTAGCTTTCCATCCATTCACTTTTCTCAAATTCGTTTTAGAATCTGTTCAATTTACAAGTTTTGTTTTTGTTTTCAATTTTCGTCAAAACCAAATCCCCATTTATTTTGAAGTGTCATATTAGTTAGAAATCAATTTAGTTTGTGTTTTTAAGTGTCTTGAGTCAAGTTAAAACCAATTTTCGTCCAAATTCTTCCTTAGTGTTCAAAACTGCCCAGAAAGTGTTTTTAAGGCATTTTTGAGTGTTTGTTTGCTGTTTTGAGTCTTTTGGTTTGTTTTGGTGTTTTAAAGTTTAGTTTTGCATTCTTTGAGTCTAGTTTAGTGTTTTAAACTTGTTTTTAAGTAATTGAGTCAGTTTTTCAAGTGATTTAGCAATCCCTCCTAATCCCCGGTCTAGAACAATCCCTACTTACATACTTTGCTACAATTGATAAAAAGAGGGTTTAATTTGAGTGCTAGTTAAAATCATATCAGAAACACCTTCAGTTTGGATAAACAGAACTACGTCGAGGCCGGCTAGTCATCTATCCAAGTCTCGACCGAGAAGGATTTTCAAATCCTTGTTGGTAGAGGTCATCTTATTAGCCTTCTCAGCGAAGAGAGGTGTTACAAATTACCAGGCTCGGCACATTGAACGTCGAGTTATTTATGATTGGTTATTCACAAGTAGGGTTTAGAGTTCGGCATTCTGACGGCCGAACCACGTTTACCATCAAGACATATATTTCCCTTAAGTACTTGTGTCCGTATAGTTTAGAGCCACTTCGGCGTACTTATACTTTCACGAATATAATCACTGTGATCAAACTCGGTGCCAATGATTTGTGAACTTCGTAAAACTAGTAGCCTTGTCTTCAGGCTCTAGAACCCGAAGACTGAGACATGTTCTTTCCTCGGCCACAGTCGTAAGATTAAGAAGTCCATAGCGTGCTCAACGCAATATTAACATATTTTACTCCTCGGCTGATGAGTTGGCATGCCCGCATACAATCGAAGAACGTAGTTAGCTCATTAGTTACTCGGCCTGCGTGCCACGTAGGCTTGGTAGTTTTTAGGGTCAACAAGAGTCCAAGAATCAATTGCTTGAACGCCTCATCTCTATGATGAGCCCATGACCATTCGCACAGTAGAGGCTTGACATCATTGGGCCCATGCCTAAAGCAGTAGGAAAGGTTAAGTTTGTGATAATGGCGGTCGAATACTAAACATGTGGGCCTAGCCACTAGTAATAATTTTTAAGAGAAAGATCTAAACGTTCGTTTGGAATAATATCATATGTTGATTTGGATCACCCAATTTAGTCGAAATCGATAACAGTTGACAGTTTGATAAAATCATTAAGAATATATTCCGTCGGCAAGTGGCCTTTACACTGACAAAAGAAGATTGACCCGTGTTGATGCTAGAGGTCTTATGGGCATATAGCGCCACCCATAAGGTAGCCATTATCGAGACTTCTATGCTTTGGCATTTGGGTTAGAGGGGGTCATGTTGGTGGATGTGAATGAGTTGAGCCACCAAGTAAAGTTTTTCATTACTGAGGAGAATCATGAGCTGCAAGCGCTCAACCTGGATTTCCACGAAGAAAAACACTTACAGGCAGAGCTTACCCATACGGCATATCAGCAAATAATTGCTTGCCACTATGGTTGATGAGTATATTAGAGGACTTTTTGGCTGGGGGACTTGGTCTTACAAGCAGTCAGGTTTTCTACTAAAGAAAAGGCAGTTGGAATATTCGCCCCACGGTGGGAAGAACCTTACAAGGTAATAGGGATAATATGGCCAAGAATATATAAGTTGGCCAACCAAGAAAGCTGACCGCTAGCCTATTCCTAAAATGTCGAGCACCTCAAGTGGTACTTCCCATGAAAATGGAATAAGGACAAGGTAGGGGAGACCAAAGACAGATGCTTTGGGTTTGCGATTGGAATGGCGTCACGAGGAAGTGGTAGGAACACTAGACCACACCTCGGAAGAGTGCTACGATCATCAGACCACTAGTTAAATAAAGACTTGTCCAACCTCTTTGTGTGGAGGTGCAAGTGGTATTAACATATGTGTTTATGAAGAATTGAAGAGATGAACAATGGCAGAAAAGATTAATCAACGAAGAAGATGAAGAGGATGAGAGAAAAGCTTTTGTTTATATTTATGAAGAAAACTAATACAACAACCTGAGAAGAATGATTTTACAATCCCCTTTTTGTAGTTACAACTATCTATTGCAAAAGACTGAAATACCCTCACAAACAACTTCATGCTAACTAACTCAATCTTATCCAACCTCCTAACCAATGATACTCTGCCACATGGTCATCATATGGTTATTACTCCCCTCTCAAACGAAGCTGAGCTGTTGAAGCTGAGTTTGTTGCAGTCATAATCCCTAATCCAAGCCTTCGACAATGTTTGAGAAAGATCGGACTATGTAGCCCTTTAGTGAAAACATCTGCCACTTGGTTATCAGTGGGAATGTAATGAACTGTAAGATCACCTTTCTGAATCTTTTCTCGTACGAAATGATAATCAATATCCAGATGTTTGATTTTGGAGTGAAAAACAGGATTGGAACTTAATGCCAAAGTGGATAAGTTGTCACAATATAAGGAAGGTGGATCGGATATATACTGATGCAAATCCTTGAATACTGATCGAATCCAGAAGATGTCAGCTGCACAATGAGCCAATGCTTTATATTCGGCTTCTGTAGAACTTCGAGACACAGTAGACTGCTTCTTAGACTGCCACGAGATAGGATTGTCACCAAGATATACAACAAAACCTGTAATCGATCGTCTGGTTGTAATATCTGATGCCCAATCCGAGTCTGAAAAGGCAGTGATATCAAAATGGTTGTTTTGTGTATAATGAAGACCATAATCGACAGTCCCTTGTATATACCTCAAAATTCTTTTGACCAACAACATATGCAAATCAGTTGGTTGTGTCATGAATTGACAGACCAAGTTCACTGAATGAGCGATATCAGGACGAGTAAAAGTTAGGTACTGTAGTGCCCCAACTAAGCTTCTATACTGACTAGGTTCAGATAACAACCTCCCTTCTCCTGCAAGAATCTGAGCATGAGGCTTTGATGGTGTTGAAGTAGGTTTACAACTGTCCATACCTGCTTTCCTCAATAGATCTTTAGCATACTTGGTTTGAGTTATAAACAAAGATCCATCATCTTTATACTGTATATGCAACCCCAAAAAATATGATAACCTCCCCATGTCTTTTAGATCAAACACACCAGCAAGATCATCAATTACAACTTGGCTTTTTACTGGATTTGAACCAGTAAGAATTATATCATCAACATAAAGCAATAGAATTACAAGATCACCACCATCCATGTTAACAAATAGACTAGTGTTGGAAAAAGATGATTTGAAACCAATAGCTGGAAGATAGCTTGTGAATTTGGAGTTCCAAGCTCTAGGAGCCTGTTTAAGGCCATAGAGCGATTTGACTAATTTGCACACATGATTTGGGCAAGTAGGATCCACAAAGCCTTGTGGCTGTTTCATATATACTTCTTCCTCCAACTCTCCATGAAGAAAGGCATTCTTAATGTCGAGTTGCCTTAATTGCCAACCAAAATTAGCAGCCAAAGCCAAGATTATCCTTACTGTAGTATGTCTTACTACAGGACTAAACGTCTCGGAATAATCTAAACCGTGCTCTTGAGTGTAACCTTGTGCTACCGACCGAGCTTTGTATCTCGAGACAGTACCATCTGGATTCTTCTTCACCTTGTACACCTATTTACTGCCAATCACAGATCAATTTGATGGTGGGGGAACCAACAACCAAGTACCCTGAGTTTTCAACGCATCAAACTCCTCTTGCATTGCACACTGCCATTCTGGTTTGGTTGATGCACTCTTAAATGTTTTAGGTTCTTCACTATCTGTTATATCAGCCAAGAATGAAAATCTCGCAGAAAATTGCTTACTGATTACCCTCGATTGACCATCAGTATATGACGCATCAAGTTGTAAGGAAGACAACTGAGGCAATGAAACAAGATATCCCATATAGCTCTTTCTAGAAATCGCACCAGTTTGTAATCTGGTCTGCATACGAATGGAATTTGTGCCTGTGATAACTGAATTATGATCTAGAGAATATGAGAGAGGTGGGAGGATTACCTGTAATTGTGCAGGATCTATGACAGGAAGCAAATGAGTAGTGTCTTGGACAGAGGAAAGAGTATGTGATGGCCCAGATCCCTGTATTGCTAGCTCAGTTGATCCACTCTCTTCAAATTGTCTCTCAGATGTATTGTTTTGTACTGCACTAGAGTTAGACCCAACCATATTCTCATTATGTGTTGGAGAAGATACTTCGGTTTCAGCCATGGAAAAATAGCTGAACCAAACACCTTAAGAGACAGTAAATCAGGTGCTCGCTTATATAAACACAAGTAAGGAGAACTGAAAGATAAGCTTTTGCAAGGCATTCTGTTGATTAAGAGCACTGCATGTGTACACGCAAAATACCACAACTCAGAAGGTAAACCAGCATCAGTGAGAAAAGTAATTGCAGTCTCTACAATATGTCTATGTTTTCTTTCAGCAACTCCGTTCTGTTGTGGAGTATAAGGACACGAAATTAACTGCTCAATACCTTTATCCGCAAGAAATGAAGTAAAACTTTTGCTTGTATATTCACCCCCTCAATCTGTTTCTAAAGCCTTGATTGATACACCAAACTGATTGAAAATAAACTTGTAGAACTTGACAAATATCAGAAACACATCAGATTTATTACTCATAGGAAAGATCCATACAAATCTTGTGTATTCATCAACAAATGTTACATAGTACCTATATCCTTCTAGAGATCTTATAGGAGATGGCCCCCAGATATCAGTGTGTACTTTTTCAAAAGGAAAAGTACATTTATCTGTTCTCATTGGAAATGGAGTTCTAGACATCTTGCCTCTAATACATGAAGTACAAGTACTATGTGTGTCATCTGTTGGAACTAAAATCTTTGACTGCTTCAACATTATATCTACTTTAGTATGAGTTAGATGCCCGAGCCTTTTATGCCAAATGCTACTCTTCACTGCTTTCCCCAAATAAGCTTCTGGATTCCTGATAGTAAACTGAGACCCTTTTGAACTTGTAACTACAGGGATCTAAAATAACTCATCAGGCCTACTCTTTCCTTGATACACTATCTCCTTTGTCTTCTTGTCCTACACAAAAAATTCAGATTCATCACATATAAACCAGCTTTTGTTGTCAGCACACAATTGTTTCACAGAAAGTAAACTTCGAGCAATAGCAAGTACATGTAGAACTTTATTAAGAGTTAGAAAGTGTGTTGGTGTCTGAAGTATAGTGGAACCAATATGTTTAATTGGTAAACCTGTACCATTCCCAATAGTGATCCTCTCGGACCCTTCAAATGGTGTTACTTGAGATAAGGCATTGATATCAGAAGTTATATGATGAGATGCCCCTGAATCAACCACCTAAGCATCTTGAGGAACAAATGTTGAAGTTTGTTGGGCATTCATTGCAAACAATGATGAGGATAGAGGCTGACCTTGATAGGCATAATTGCCCCTTTGATAACAATCCAGTGCAGAATGACTTCTCTTGCCACAAATCTGACATTCAATTGCAAAACCAGTAGCTGGACCATTGGTATTTCTGTGAAAACAATTAACTGCAGTGTGTCCTTGTTTATTACATATCTGACATTCAATCACTACGTTAGCTCTAGTATCAACATTTCCAGACCAAGTGTTATTTCCAGCACCAAACTGTCTTGAACCACCTGAGTAGGAATGAGATGTGTTCCCAGAGTTAATGTATCCCCTTCCTCTAAAGCCATTATTATTTCTGTAACTGTTACCTCCTCTGTAATTATGTCCACCTCTATATCGATTGCCTTGACCATTGGAAGACTGTGATCTTGGTACATTCTGACCACCAGAATGAGCATTAAAACCATACCCATAAGACTCTGGAAGATGATAGTATGGTTGATGATCTGTATTTGATAAAGAAGTTGAACCATTTGGCACAGCAGTGATAGTATCAGCAGTTATAGCAGGAATATGATCATGGCTTTGAGGATTTGAACCTGATGCAGATGAACTAGAACTAGAATTCGAACCAGAACTGGATCCGTGAACATATAAGGCAGACATATTCTGAGTAATGACATTCAATTCTCCCTCATTTTCTCTCTCAGCACCAAACAACAATGCTCGAAATTCTTTCAAAGTAAGTATAGATTCCCTTGCCAAAATCACAGTGCGAATCACCCCATACTCCTTTGGTAATCCAGCAAGACCAGCAATCATGATATCATTATCCGAGACTACTTCACCTGCAGCACTGAGTTGGTCCCTAATATGTTTGAGTCTCAACAGATATTTATCAATTGTATCGGACCCTTTTTGAATTGTACGTAATTCAGTTTTCAGATGATTAACTCTTGATTTAGAAACAGAAGCAAAACGATCTACAAGATTAATCCGGGCTTCATATGTTGTTCTACATCCAATCAAATACTCGATGGCTTCATCAGATAAAGTAGCAAGTAACAGACTCAATAATGCCATATCAGTTGCTTCCCAGTCAAGATATGCCACTATAATCTCTTTAGTGACTCCAGTATCAGAACTTATAACAAACTTTGGTGGACATGAAGTTGAACCATCAAAGTGATCAAACAATTTATACCCACGTAGGACAGACTGAAACTGAAATGCCCATTTAGCAAAATTATCTTCCCTAAGCCTGATGGTAATCATACCCAAAACACCTTCAACTTTGAATACAGGAGCAGTCATGATTGAAAGATTGACACTTCCATAAATCTCAAACTATATGAACAACAAATTGACTATAGAGAATGACACTCTATGCACAGAAACCTCGAATACATAAAGATTGACACTTTCTCACAAACAAATCGTGAACACAGAAAGAATGACACTTCCGGGCAAACACTTCTCGAACACAGAAAGATTAACACTTTCTTGTAAACAAATCTTGATCGCAGAAAGAATGACACTTCCTGGCAAACCACTACCAAACACAGAAAGAATGACACTTTCTTGATACTATAATTCCAGCACTGCAATCTACTATTGTAGCACACCCATATCAATCTTCTACGATAAAATCAAGAGAAAACATAGCAGAATTCTCAAATCAAGGGAAACAAAACAAAATCTCAATCCAAGCATATCGCAAATACCTAGTTATGATTCCAGAAATTATAGAACAACCCAGATGAAAGAAAATGAACAATATCACCTGATATGACTGTAATCCATCAGCAATTCACAAAACCAAGTACTCTAAACTCCAGCAACAGACGTCAGCAACCCAACCGATCAAGATTCACCAAGGAAAAACCACTGACCAATTTTGACAAACACAGCAGAAGACCTTTCAGGACCGACTACGGCAGCAAGCCAAAAACCGGCGATGATATCATATTAACATATGTGTTTATGAAGAATTGAAGAGATGAACAATGGCAGAAAAGATGAATCAACGAAGAAGATGAAGAGGATGAGAGAAAAGCTTTTGTTTATATTTCTGAAGAAAACTAATACAACAACCTGAGAAGAATGATTTTACAATCCCCTTTTTGTAGTTACAACTATCTATTGCAAAAGACTGAAATACCCTCACAAACAACTTCATGCTAACTAACTCATCTTATCCAACCTCCTAACCAATGATACTCTGCCACATGGTCATCATATGGTTATTAAGTGGTACTCCCTCGAGGAACATCCTTCACATATAAACATTCCTAACGTAAAAACATAAAGGCTGACATGTATGACTCTTGAGTACGGACTCCCACTAACAACTAGGCCAAGCAAGGTGCTCAGCTAAAATGTGACGTGAGTAGATTTGTACAAAAGCCACTTCGTTGCCATGTATTGGCCAAAGAAGAATAGGACATCTCGTAGGTCAAATCAGTATATTCGGCGTATTAAATGCAAGGAAAGTGACATGTTTATAGGGAAAAAGGGACTCAGGAGATGGACTATATACAGAGGCCACAAACCTCTTAGAAAGGGTCAGACGAATTGAGAGAGAAAATACTATTCTAGCTGAGCGCTACTTCTAATACAGTTCATCATAAATCAAAAGAAACTCAGTGGATGTTGCCCATTTTGATGGGTGAACCACTTAAACTTTGTGTCCATTTTTCTTAGTTGTTAAACCCAAGTCCATTAAAGGATCAAAACTTAATCTATTCAATATTTGTTAACCTCACCAGTTTTGAGTGTTAACACTTGTCAATGGGACACATGTATTAACAAAATTAAATTAAAGACATTTGACTACTGATAAAAAAGACA